ACGTCCTCTTCTGAATCTGGCTTGAACCTCTGGAAGTTCTCTGTCAATATACTGCTGCAAACGTTTCTGAATTATCTTCAGTAAGATCTTACTTGCGTGCCATGACTGAACTGGGAAGAAGTAGTTCAAAGACATGCATTACACCATATTGAGTATATACTGTATTTCCTGTCATGTAATGTTAAGAATTACTACGTGTCTTTGTTGTCTGTACCTCCCATGTGCCTCTCTCTGTCTTCCTCTTCCTCGCATTCCTCTTCTCCAATTATATATTAAATACGACAATGTAGTGTAAAGCATGTTTCCATTTTTTTAAATAGTGATTCAGTAGAAAATAATGCAGAGCAATGATATGTCAGAATATAAGCAGTGATCCCTAGGGGGGTTATTAGGTGTGGAATGGGAGTAGGATGAGTAGGGAGTGTACTGTCTCCAGTAGACAACCCAGTATTATCTGAGGGTTTTATTTATTTATTTATTTTTAATATATAAGAGCCTATAATCTTATTTTTCATAATACAAAGTCTTGTTTTAGTTGAGATGCATTTTCAAGAGGTCATCTGAGTAAATACGTACACGTGTGTGAGGAGTCTGAGTTTCTTTAGATTCAAGTGTAACTTGTTATCGTTCTAAGGCCTTAGTGAGTTCTCATCTGTCCTTACTTCCAACTGATATAAATAGAACTGAAAATAAATTTTTAGGGGATAGTAGTTTTCTATTTAGACCTTGGATCTTAGTTAAATATATTAACCAAAAAAAAAAAAGGAATGTGTTTGGGGTTGGTACATGGGGACAGGCAGCAAACACCATGCTAAATCATGTAAATTTAATTTCCAGTTATAAATAAATTCTTCTAGTGAATCCCATTATTATTTTCTTTCATATTTCAAACACTCTTGGCTTAACCCAAGAAGCGTAATAGAATAAGCATTTGCAGTTCTTAATTTTGTTTCCTGACAAATAAGGCTACTGGTTCCCAAATTAAATAATCACACAAAATATGTATAAGGGCTAGGAATTTTCAGATAGCATTTCTTGAGAACAACTTGATAGAATATTTATACCAAAACCGAAACAGACTCACTGCTGTCAAGTTGATTCGACTCATAGTGACCCCTCCTTGGGTTTCCAAGGTGGTATATGTACAGAGATAGATTGCCCAGTCTTCCTTCTGAGGAGTGTTTGGTGGGTTTGAACTACCAGCCTTCTGTTTAGCCGTCAAGTGCCTTAGGCACTATGCCACCAGGGCTCCCAGAATATTTGTGTTGTTGTTGTTGTTGTTTGCCGTCAAGTCGTCCCGACTCATAGCGACCCCTCCTTGGGTTTCCGAGGCAGTATCACTACAGAAGTAGGATTGCCCAACCTTCCTTCCGAGGAGTGGCTGGTGGGTTTGAACCGCCAGCCTTCTGGTTAGCAGTCAAGTGCCTTAGGCACTGTGCTACCAGAGCTCCCAGAATATTTATAGTGAGATTTAAAATTTATTATTTAATTCTTTTTCTCTAAATGTATCTTATGATAGAAATCAGTTGTTATTATACTAGTACTCAAATAACTTCTTTTAGAAGGATCAGCACAAGGCTGGTCCCTATGAGGTGGAAGTTAAAGATGTCTCAAATGTCCATCTTTTCCAGACTTCTCTACCACTCCATCATCTCCAACATCCTTCTCCCCTCAGTGTCTTCCTCCTGTCTTATGGTTCCATATGTTGGCTGTAGCGTCTCACAGAACTCACCAGCTGCCAAGGAAAACACTTATGTCGTGGTAGAGCCTGGGAGGCTGGCAATCGCAAATCCATGGGTAGGGTCTGGAAGTTCTCACTCGTGTGGTTTCAGGGGCCATAAAGCCAAATCGGCAGTCAGATGACCGACTGCTGTCTCAAGTCAGGGGTGAGATGATGACAAGCCAAATGCAGGAGCAGAGCAAGAGCAGGAACTTTCTCAGAACATTCACATATATGCCTCCAAGGAAACTGAGGTTGGTGACTTGAGTCACTTTCAGCAAGGTAGAACTCAAGATACAACCCACCCTAAACAGGCATAGAGACTAGGATTTACAATGTATCACAAGATGGAGGACCATGGCTAGAAGGTCCATATTAAGCAATTCACTGCACTACAACTAGGAAATGCTTTGTCTGGTAGATCTTATTGTTAACATTATTTATAGATACAGGAAGCATGAAGGAAATCATAATGTCCAAAAGAGAGGAATGGTTAGGTAAATTTTGGTATGTAACTAGGGCTAAAATAGTATAGAATGAACCATTTACCCACCATTAAGTAAGGTGTTTGAAGACTGGTGAAAAACATGAGAAACTATTTATAAAAGTATAAAGGAATGATACAGATTTTTAGATACATATATTCAAAGATCCCCAACTTGTCAAAACTGTGTGTGTGTTTATATATAATATACCAAGTTCTGGGTGGTAGAATTGTGGAAAATGTGTATGTTTCCTGTATTTTCCAAGTTTTTTATAATAAATATATGTTGGCTCTTTAAAAATTATGAAATCAACTTAAGTATTGTAATAAAATTGCTAAAGATGATTATTATTATAGTTAGCTTTTCTTGATGTCTATTTCTTTAAAGCTAATTATAGAAATAGTTTTCTTTTTAAATGATTTTGTTCCCTTCCAGAATATCGGAGAATTAAGTACATTTGAAGGCCTCACTTTTTAATTTTCTCAATAACTTAAAAATATTCTATTTTTGGAATCTATTTCAGTCATTTAAAAAAGTCTGAGGTTGAACATGGACAGGTACTACAGTTTTTTCCCTTGGGTCCAGTGGAATTTTACCTTCTTAAGTGCTTAGAGAGTATCTTTTTATCACTGGGTTTTATAAACTTTACTAACCCACTGCCATCGAGTGATTCCAACTCATGGAGACCCTATGGGACAGAATAGAACTACCCCATAGGATTTCCGAGGCTGTAAACCTTTATGGAAGCACTTTGGTGGCGTAGTGCCTAAAGCATGTGACTGCTAACCAGAAGGCTGGTGGTTCAAACCCACCAGCCACTCCTTAGAAAGAAGGTTGGGCAATCTACTTCTGTAGAGATACCGCCTTGGAAGCCCAAGAAGGGGTCACTATAAGTTGGAATTGACTCGACGGCAGTGACTTGGTTAGTTTTAAACCTTTTTAGAAGCAGACTGCCACAGCTTTATCCTGTGGAGTAGCTGTGGTGGGTTCAACCTGCCATCTTTTTGGTTAGCAGCCAAATGCTTTTACCATTGAACTACCAGAGCTATTTAAACTTCACTAGAGGGAGCCATAGTGGTGTAGTGTTTAAGGCATCTGCTAACCAGAAGGCTAATGGTTCAAACCCATCAACCACTCCTCAGAAGGAAGATCAGGCAATCTACGTTCTGTAGATATACTGCCTCGGAAACCCAAGGGGAGGAAGGGGTCATTCATTATGAGTTGGGATTGACCCAATGGCAGTGAGTTTTTTTTTTTGTTTTTTTTTTTTTTTTGTGAGCGGTACCTTAGTTCTTGTGCCATCCTTTTCTTTCAGGAGTGGCAACTTTCAGTGCTTCCCCAAGGTAGTTGTCTGTAACTGTGGTGGTGGTTGTTCCCAGATTTGTTTTCTTATTTTCAGACAGAATAGCTCATGATTGTCTTCAAGTTAGATTTCCAGCAAATCATTTAAAAGCCATAGGGAAACATAATGGTCTCTGATAACGTATGATTCTGTGTGTTTACTTTTAATGCCTGTTAGTTTATGTGTTAATAATATGCTTACTGTGGATTAATTAAAAGTCAGAGGCAAATGACATTTGCATACGTATGGTACGCTTTATGAACCAAGCCAATAAAATATAGGAATTCATATCCTGACATTAATACAAAATACGTGCTTCGTATCTGTATGTGTGTTTGTGTTCATAATTCACTATGCTTGAACAAAGTCAGGCAGAGCCAGTGGTAGAGTAAGTTACAAAATCGCCCTGCCCATGAAGGGAATGTGCCTGAGTACGAAACAGAACTCTTAATGTTAGTTTTACATTTCTATTTGATGGAATCTAAGTTTGTGGAGATGACTGTAAAAATAATTTGTCTGAAATAAGTCTGGATGCAGAAATCTAATAGAGAAAATATTTGAGAATATGGTTCATCAGCGAGTGCAACACATATAACACCTTCCAGGAGCACCATATGGTGCGGATCAAAGCATCCTGTGACCCAGCTTCATGTGGCTGAATCATTACGGATTGATTGGAGCCCCTCAGGAGGGTTAACCCCTTCATGCTCTTCACCCAGCGTTCCATCATTCTTGACATCACTAATTTTAGGAATATCTTCCAACCACTGTTAGCTTTTTTTTTTTTTTTTTTTAAAGCTAATTATCCACTTGGATATATTTATCTTTCTAAATTATTTGATTGTACTATTCCTTGCTGGATAAAATTAACTTGTGAAAAGATTAATAATGTATCACTTGATAATAAAGCATTTTCTGGGGAAAGGAAAAAGAAAAAACTAGTATTCTGGGTAGAAAGCATAGCCAGAAAATCTCAAAATCAAGTATAGATTGTGCAGTTTTTCCTTATGTAGATTAAATGGTAACTACCAGCTTTTTGAAGAAGTTTATCACAGTCTGAACAGAGAGCTTTGCATTTCACAAAAACCTGCCAAACACTTTTGTGTGTTGTCCACTCTAACATCTGACTGTGAACGTTTTGGTACAGTTTTACTCGTGTTCATCAATAACAATGCAGAATTAATTAGTAAATTTCATGAGAAAAGAAAGTCTCACATTCATTGGCGTCCACATTTGGCCTTTGTGGGCTCCTGTTGCCTTTTATGTCCTTGCCTAGTGAGACGGTTCTTGACAGCAAATTCATCCTCTTCTGTGTTTTTCCTTTCAGTTTGTCCCACGAGGAGCATCCCCATAGCCATCCTCTCTACGGACACGGTGTGTGCAAGTGGCCAGGTTGTGAAGCAGTGTGCGAAGATTTCCCTTCATTTCTAAAGTAAGAATCGTGTTTGTTTGTTCTCTTTTACATAGCCATCACCTCCCACTGTTCACACTTCTGCTCATAAAATGCCTTTTTGATGGAGGCTTTTTACACCTCCTTTTTGAGAGTGAATTCTAAATCACAAGGTCTCACACCGTGTCATAAGGGTAGCTACAAAATCTACTCTTATTATGGAGAGAAGGTTGTATTGTAGAGACAGAAAGACTTAAGGCCCAAGGCATTTTGCTTACACTTAGAAATACCATAGAGTTATCCATGTTCTTTAGACTGGTAGTGATTTAAAAAAAAAAAAAAAATTCTACCAATGTTAAACTTGTAGTAATTGAGCTTAACTTTTTTAATCTGTTCCCATATATTAAATCAATGATATGCTATCTCTAAATTTATTAAATTAGTATCTAATTTTATGAAATCAATGGTTAGTTAGTTGCATTCAGGGGATTGGTCCTCTTTGTTCATACAAATGACTTCATAAACAGAAAAAATGCAAAACATGTTGAGTCTTTTCTTTATGTGGTGGTATTGACTTTTGTTCAAATTCTTACTCTTATAGGGAGAATGAAATTAAATGTAATTTCTACAGTTAGTTAAAATATGACTAAAGCTTAGGTTATCCCATTTGGATCTATAACATTAAACATATCTCTATAAGTAAATGATACATTCATGTTGCCATAGCTGGAACCAGATACCTCTGTAGTGCATCTTAGTATTTCTCTTACCTGTGGTACCTTATGGGAACCCTGGTGGTGTAGTGCCTAAGGCATTTGACTGCTAACCAGAAGGCTGGCGGTTCAAACCCCACTCCTCAGAAGGAAGGTTGGGCAATCTACTTCTGTAGTGATACCGCCTCGGAAACCCAAGGAGGGGTTGCTATGAGTCAAATCGACTCAACGGCAGTGAGTTTGTGGTTTGTCTTATGGTACCTTGACAATTAAAAAAATATAGACTAAACTGTCTTATATTTTTGATATCACATAAATATATTCATACTGAGTGATTGACTTAGGGACTCAATAAATTTCACATATGTATCTCAAATGTTTTATATATATATATATATATATATATATACACACACACACACATACATACACACACACACACTCTCTCACACACACACATGACATATATATTATTTAATAAACATATGCATGTATATAACTTATATGGTTTACAAATTGGATGTGAGGGGGTGGTCTTTCCCCCCTCACTTTTCTCTCCTCAATATGCAAGAAAGCAGAGATTCATGTGCAGGTCTGTGGTGCAGTTAAAATATTTGCCTGCTAACCAAAAGTTCAGTAGTTTGAACCTGCCAGCCACTCCATGGGAGAAAGATGAGGCAGTCTGATTCTGTAAAGATTTATAGCCTTTGGGCAGCTTTACTCTGTCCTATAGAGTCGTCATGAGTCAGAATTGACTCTATGGAAGTGAGTTTGGTTTTGGTTTTTATATTTATATTGTTAAAACAAACTCTTTATCTTTATGGGCCTGGATACAAATACTATAATAAAGCTACTCTTAGAGATACGTCTAGTGTTATCTGCAGATGGTTTTCGTAACACAGGTTTTTGATTAATCAATGAAAGCCTGTGAATCTAATTCATAGCTTCCTAGCTTCAATATTTTACTTCAAACATTATGTGATCATTGAAAACTTAAGTACCTAAAACTTTTTTAAAGAATATATCTAAAATTGTTTTTAGGCAGCAGCCCTCAAGCGCAGTGATTTTATTTGATTTTGTTTTAAGCACCAGTCCTTGTGATAAGATGATTCAGATTTTCTCTTTATAAACCACTCATTGTATAATCTTGATTTTGTTATTTCCTGAGCAGGTGCCTAATTGTATTTATATAATGAGAGAAAAATAACTTGGCAGAAACCACTTTTTAGTTCTGATTTCTCCTTTTGCATCTATGCTGGGCTTGGTAAATATCTTAGTACGTGTTGCCTCAAATGTAGAATAGCCAGTGAACATCTGTAAATAAGATTTATTTTTGTAAAGTCTCTATGACTATAAAGTTGCTACTGACATTCTCCATGATGTGTCAGTTTTGGAGTCTGAAGGAAAAAGGCTAATTTGACCCATTTTGTTAATTCAGGCTTTTGAATGACTAAAGTATTTCTACTCTAATCTCAATTCACAGATCCATTTATTATGTGGTCTGACAGATGAGAGAGAATGATACTCATATATACACCTGTACACATACATGCACATACACACGCATGCACACACACACACACACCAAAAAGCTCACTGCCATTGAGTTGATCCTGACTCATAGTGACCCTATACGGTAGAGTAGAACTGCCCCATAAGGTTTCCAAGGTTGTAAATCCTTACGGAAGCAGACTGCCTCATCTTTCTCCCATGGAGCGGCTGATAGGTTCGAACTGCCAAACTTTTGGTTAGGGCCCAGTGCTTTAACCACTGTACTACCAGTTACATATATATGCACACATACATACAGAGATACATATACATACACACACACACACACGTATATGTAAGTACTATATACTTCAGCAAGGATAGAGCAAAATTGCAACCCTTCTAGTACTAAAGAAAATAATCTATTTTTAAAAAATGATTAAAATTAATAGTCTTGACACTTACAAGAAAGCCAGCTTCTGTTCTAAGGATATGAGGTGTCTGACTCTTGGATAGGAAAGAAACATCCTGGGCCAGTTCTCCTTACCCCAGAATGAGTCATGTGGTCTAGCTTTGAGCTAATCACAATGGTAGCCAGGCTTGTGTCATATGCCAGTCTCCAGAGCAGAGGGAAATCTTTAACCCACATGAAGCACATAGGGGCTAGGGATGAGAAACTTGGTTCCAGAAAGTAGGACTGAACATTGTTTCCAGAGAAAGGGAGAGTGAGTGCTAAGTAAGATAATACCCTCTAAAATGCACAGCTCTCTTGGTGCTTTTCTGAGGGGTACATTGACTGATGTGCATATGACACATTAAGAATTTTTCTTTTCCTCTCTTGAATGATTATAGCTCTTGGAAATTCAGAGTTGTATTCAAGTTGCAGGACCTTGTTTAATGTAATGAAGAATATGTTAGTTATCTTGTATATTCATATCTCTTGTATCTCTGTACAGTCTAAAAAGAAAGGAAATAATTGGCTGTAGTGAAACCAACTTTGTTTTCAAATGAAATGGACTGCGAGCTGTATTCTTGGAGTTGAAACAAAAACTATGTGGCCTCTTTGAACAATATCATCTTGGGGTCATTGTCATCAGGAAGTGATATTTCAAGCATTTCTTCACTAAATGTCATTCTTAAAGACTCTGAAACCATCTTTGTCCTGGGTCTACTTTTCTCTTCAGTTGCCCCTAGTAGAGCTGCTTTCTTATCACTTAAGTAAATAGATAACAATGGTACTTCGATTCTCTGTGGCATTCTTAATCAACAAAATGTAGCTTTGACCTTGATTTAGGTGTTGCTTCATAGATTTTTTTCCCCACCTACCTTGTAATCCCCTAATCTCACACTCCTCTATAATACAGTTCGTACTTTAATAGTTCTGAGCTGTATTCCAGGGAATGTTCCAAGTGCTTTACATATATTAAATGACTTAATCCTCACGACAACCTTATATTGTATTGTGGTCTGAATAATGTAGTCTTACTGCCAATATGCAGATAAGGAAACTAGGCACAGAGAGGTTAAGTGATTTAGCCAAGGTCACACAGCATATAGGAGGTGAAGCCAGGATCTGGACGCAGATAGTCTGGTTTCACAGTACTTGATCATAACTACTGACCTATTCCACCTGGCCAAAGTCAGTGTATTTTATTAACTGTTTCCTGTCTATTTAAGGCAGTGAGGTATAAAGAAAAGAATTTTAGACAAAGGCCAATTGGGGTTACGAAGTCACTTACCATTAATGTGTTCTTTCAGCATGTTTCAGATGTTACATGGCTTCTCTGAAGCTTAGTATCACCAACTGTAATTTAGGATAGTAATAACTACCTCTTAGGATTGTTCGAATTAAAAGGTACAGCATGTGAAGTGCCTAGCCCATACTAGACCCTCACTAAAATTATTAGTGTTTCTTTTCTAATCTACTTAAGTATATTTTTTAAAGGAGGGACATTTTTAAATATCCAACATTTCCAGAATTTAACTAGGGAAGAGATTGTGACTATGCAAAGCTTTGATCTGTCATAAGAGATTGTTCTTTGATACAATTTTTAAACCATAAATTTCTGGTGCAGTCCTGCTCAATCAAATGTGATCTCAGGGCAGGAGTCCCCACATGTTTCTGAATGGGCCACACAGTAGATATGTTAGGCTTGGCAGACCTGAGCATCTCAGTCACAACTACTCAGCCCTGCCTTTGGAGCATGAAAACAACCACAGATAGTGCTCCAGAAAAGGGCATGGCTGTGACCCTTGCACCACAGTTTGCTGACCTGTGACCTAGAGTATAATTTTTGGTGTAACCACCTTTATTTTAGCCAAGAAACATTTTTGTAGTCACTGGTCATTGCTATCCTGGGTTATTTTCTTTTTTCTTTTTTTTTTTTTAGGACAAGAATCATGAATTTATCAATAGGTCTATATTCATCTTATGAAAAATACTTTTTTGTAGAATGAGTTTGTTTTACAAAATACATTTTCATAAAGAAAAGCCTCTCTTTGTTAAGGAAGAACCCAGAATTTTACAATTAGTGATCATTGCCTCAAACAGTGGATTTCAAAGTGTAGTCCCTGGACCAGCAGTAGCAACATAACTTGGGGACTTATTAGAAAGGCCCAGTCTCCCATCCCACTCCAGACCCACCAGCTCAGAAACTCTGGG